TGATGACTTAGTGATAAGTGAGGCTGAGGTCAGCTCTGTTCAGTCTTCTTTCCCCCTTAGTGATGGGATACTCAGTACTCAGTACCTAGACACAGTCTTTCCCCCCAAAGTCTACTGCAGCTAGACATGGCTGCTGCTAAGTCCCAGTCAATAAGATTTTAATAGAGGTGACGTGTTCGACTTCTGTGCAGTTCCTTTAAGCAAAGGATGCCCCACAGTTCCTTTCCTTCCTTCTGGCTAGAAGAAAGATGTGATGGCTGGAGCAGCCATTCTAGACTACACAGTAAAAGTCCTTTTTGAGAATGGCTTGTAACACAACTGAAGGACCCGAGACACAGATGGTTGTGAGACCTCAAAACAGCTATCAACTCCTTCTTCAGACTTGGATGTCAGGGGAAAACAAAGTGTCACAGGAAAGTCACTTTTCAAAAATGTCACACTGTCACAGCAGACGAACTGAGACACTAAGTGACAAGGGTGGTCACTGAGTGTTGAGAGACGAGGCTAGGAAGTGGCGGTTCCTCCTTTACGTCAGGGAGATGGTCGAGAGCTCTAAGGAGGAGCATGGGAATGGTGGCACTCAGCAGCTGCCCATCTCACAGACTGTGGTGGTTTGAATAGGAATGTCCCTAGACTCATGTGTTTGAGGGTTTGACCCACAAGGAGTGGCACCGTTAGGAGGTGCAGACTTGTCGGAGGAAGGGTGTCAGTGTGGGGGCAGGCTTTGAGGTCTTATAAGCTCAAGTCTGGCCAGTGTGACACAGTCCACTTCCTGTTGCCCTTAGATCCAGATGTCAAACTCTCAGCTACCTCTCCAGCACCATGTCTGCCTGCACACCTCCATGCTTCCTTCCATGATGATGGCAGGCCAAACCTCTGAACTATAAGCCAGCCTCAGTGAAATGTTCTCCTTCATAAGAGTTGCCGTGATCACAGTGTCTCCTTACAGCAATAGAACCCTGGCTAGGACACATACGAAGACAGTGACTCTTGCAAAGTCACCGCTATTGAGGGTGTGGTGGCTGATCTCGGGTGTCAACTTGACACCCCTAGGAAGAGGGAACCTCGGCTGAGGACCTGCCTCCATCAGGGTGGCCCATGGTCATGTCTGTGAGACATTTTCTTGATTGCTAATTAATGTGGGAGGTCCTGGCCCACCAAGGGTGGAGCCGTCCCTAGGCAGGTGAACCTGGGCTGTATATGAAACAAGCCCGAGGAAGCAAGCATGTGAAGCTGTTCCTCCGTGGTCTCCACCTTGTGTCCTGCCTCCAGGTTGCTGCTCGAGATCCTGCCTTAGCTTCTCTGGATGACTGACTGTGAGCCAGACAAACCCCTTCCTCCCCAAGTTGTTATTGGCCAGCGTTTATCACAGCAATTGAAAACAAACCAGAGCAGAAAGGTGGACAGGGGCTTCTGTCCTGCTCAAGGATCGGGGGGTAGCTTTCAAAACCAACTGGGATTGTGGGCAGGCTCTCTCATCTGCTCTTCAGCAGAGAATTTTGTTGAGATTTCTCCATTTTGAAAATTTAAGTGACTCAGCACTTTAAATTTTTTTTTTTTTTTTTGGTTTTTCGAGACAGGGTTTCTCTGTGTAGCTTTGCGCCTTTCCTGGTACTCGCTTTGGAGACCAGGCTGGCCTCGAACTCACAGAGATCCACCTGGCTCTGCCTCCCGAGTGCTGGGATTAAAGGCGTGCGCCACCACCGCCCGGCTAAATTTTTTGCTAAGCCCTGTAGACTGTTGGATCATGAAAAGAACCTTCCTGTGTGTGTGGCTAATTCCTCCATGACAGTGGCCCAAGGAGGGGGGAGGAGGGACGGAGGCTCAGTGTCTTGTTCTGGTTCCTGTTGTTCTGTCCTGACTACCTGTCGGTGGCAAGGCCCCCACAATCTAGTTTTCCCATTCAGTTTTTTTTTTAGGTTTCAGTTTCAAATCTGTTTCCGTGATTGTAAATATCTAACTACAACTCCCATGAAAGACTGTAGAAATGTCTCTCAGTGACATGGGCAAGTGTGAGGACTGCGTTCAGTTCCCTGCATGCATATAAAAGCATGTGTGTGCACCCATGCACCCATGCAAAGGCCAGGAGAGGACATGAGGTGTCCTCCTCTATGGCTCTCCTCCTTATTACCTAAGATGGAGTCTCTGTCTAAACTTAGAGACACGTTGGCTGCCAGCAAGCCTCCAGATCCTCTTATCTCTATCCTTCACAATATTGGGGTTACAAGCCCACTCTGACATGCCTGTCTTTTTACATGGGTGCCAGGGATTTGAACTCAGGTCCTCCAGCTTGTAGAGCAAGTACTCACTGAGCCATCACACCAACCTTTGGTTCAAAATTTGTACTCATTTTTTTCAGTTGAGAGAAAATGTTCCTCCACTGTTCCTATGTTTGTTCCTATGCTGGAGCTAGGGAGGTTCCTGTGTAGGTGTCAAAGGGCCCTTTCTTGTCTTTATATCCATGTGTGTCCATCTCCACCCTTGCATAGCCTTTCAGTCTTTCGATTTAAACTTTTAAAGAACAAAAAGCCTACTTTTTGATGTTTTCTTTCATGGTGTGTACTTTTTTGTGCTCTGTGTGTGCTCAAGAGTTTGTGTGAGCATGCATGAGCATGTGTGTGGAGGCCAGAAGTCATATTCCTAAAGATCCTGTCTCTACCCCAAGGTTGCCCTGGTTTGTCTCCTGCTTTCTCCCAGAAGTAGCTTGGTTCTTGAACATGCATGTAACTTTGTCATCCACTGGAAGCTGACTTCCACATCTGGCGTGAGGTGGGAGTGTGTGTCCGTCTTTCCCATCAGTGTCCGGCTTTCCTCATAGGTTCCTTTGGTGGATTCAGAGGCATTGTTCTGAGAAGAGATGCTGAGCCATCATCAGACTGGGGCAGAGGTATATGACACACTCCTCAGAGGTTCCAGCAGAGCATGGGAGGGACTGCAGTCACCTGGAGGAAGAGCTCTCAAGACCACAGGGACATCTGGTTTGTCATCCTGCCCAGGAGCCCAGGTCAGAGCACTCTTGGAGCTTGGTTGAGACAGGGTGTGCCCAATGCCTGAGAACATGCGATCAGGTAGCTGCTCACAGCCTGAGGCTCATTGCTTACTTACCCGGGGCTGGGTGCCCATGGTACTGAGGACAGATCTACGTACCCTGGCTCAGGCAGGGATGACACCTGTCCACTTGGCTGAGAACAATCTTCCTTTGTGCTATGCCACACTGCTATGCTTCTCCCATGAATGCCATCCTCCCCAGGTCTGTAGACCTCTGACTTGAGGCACTCCTGGGTCCTCCTCAGGTACTCAAGATGTCTTCAGGAGTGCAGGATGGTTCACTGAGTAGGGCAATTGCTCCGCAAGTTGGGAATGTGGGGTTGGGTCCTAAGCAGCCCACTCTGTAGACACACCCCACAGCTAGTTGGCTCCATTCAGCAGCAAAGACATTTCTTTGTGACTAAAAGCAGGAGAAAAGAATACAAATAAAGACAAGATGGTAGAATTCTGTCCAGGGAAAATGAAAGTTAAAGCTTCATGTCTTTGAAGGAAGAAACAAGGAGGACGCAAGGGGTAGAAATTCTTGAGGGTTAACATCAGCAAACCAGCCTTCCCCGCCGGATGGAGAGTGCCTGCTGGAACTTATATTACTTAGTTTACTATTAGTATAGCCAAACTCCTGAGGCGATTTGAATGTAATTGGTTCCTATAAGCTCACAAGGAGTGGCATTATTAGAAGGTGTGGCCTTGTTGGAGGAAGTGTGTCATCATGGAGGCAGGCTTTAAGATCTCATATATGCTCAAGCCATGCCCAGTGTCTCAGACCACTTCCTGTTGCCTGCAGGATCCAGATATGTCTCCTTCTCCACTCTCGGCTCCTTCTCCAGCACCACGTCTGCCTGTGTGCTGCCATGTCCTGCCGTGATGATAATGGACTGAACCTCTGAACTGTAAGCTGGCCCCAATTAAATGTTTTCCTTTATAAGAGTTGCCATGGTCATGGTGTCTCTTCACAGCAATAGAAACCTAATCTAAGACATCAATTAACTTAAAAAAGAAAAGGTTTATTGTGGATCAGGGTTCTGGATGTTCTCATTGCTATACATTTGAGGCCACTGGAGAACACGTCACAACAGGAGTGTATCCTGAAGCAAACTGCTCTCCTTATAATCCAAGCAGAGAGAGACAGGAAGAAGATTGGGGGTCCCACAAGCCCCTTTGAGGGTGGCCCCTAACAAACTAAAGACCTATCAAGTCACATCTCCTAAAGGCTACCAAATTTCAATAATTCACTAATTTACCACAGTTTCAACTAGAAAAATTATAAAGCATATTGTGTTGACATATTCCCCAAACAAAGCCCGCCTCCATGATGACATACTTCCTCTAACAAGGCCACACCTCCTAAAATAGAATTAACACATTAAAAGCTGCCTTAGTCCATTGTTCTGTTATCAGAAAATACCAGAGACTGGGTATTTTATAAAGAAGAGAAACTTATTCCTCGTAGTTTAGAGGCTGGGGAGTTCAAGATCAAGGTGCCAGCAGGTTCAGAATCTGGTGAGGGCTGCTCTCTGGTGCCAAGATGGCACCTCACTGCTGCACCCTACAGTGTCACCATGGGGCAAAAGGCAGAAGTCAAGAGAACTTATTTACAAACGCCTTTGGCCTGAATTCCACTCACGAGGGAGGAGCCTTGTGGATTAACCACCTTTTAACATTCCCTTAGTACCAATGCAAAGGCCATTTGCTGTCAACACCTGAGTTTCAGAGAGGACATATTCAAAAAAAGAGGACAAACCCTAGCAAGTGTCCCCATTAAAGACCAGACTAGTATGTGAGCACAGAATATTGATTAAGTAGTTAATTAACAAAACTCGGGCCGGGCGGTGGTGGCGCACGCCTTTAATCCCAGCACTCGGGAGGCAGAGCCAGGCGGATCTCTGTGAGTTCGAGGCCAGCCTGGGCTACCAAGTGAGTTCCAGAAAAGGCGCAAAAGCTACACAGAGAAACCCTGTCTCGAAAAACCAAAAAAAAAAAAAAAACCTCGGAGCTTTCTAATCAGTGAGGGGCAGCTAAAGTTGTCAACAAGCTGTTGTTTGCACGTGGCGACGCAGCCTCGTGTCCAAATGTGGCCCCGTGATCTCTCACTGGCAGTAATAACGCTATTTTTTCCTTCCTGCTGTTTTGAGAGGACTATTGAATCAAGTTTGGGGGCGACCAGCGTCCATTCATGGGATCGCTGCAAGAAGCTGTGCCTTGTGCAGCTGGGTGTCTGTCAGACGCGGAGCTCTCCGTTGGCTGCTCCCTGGAGGGCTGTCTACATGAAGCATGTCTTCTTGAGTTAGGGAAAACCCGAGGCCGGTGCCACCCACCTTCTGAGCATGCGAGCTACACTGCGCATGTGCAGGTCACCGGCCAGCCTCAGGTGTCGGCCTTCCCCTCCACCATGTCTGACACAAGCTGTCCTGGTTTGTTGCTGTGTTCCCCGAGGCTGTCCAGGAAGTTTCCTTTCCTGCCTCCTATCTACATAGAACCCCTGCAATTACAGATGTGTGCTCCCGTGTCTGGCTCTATGTGGGTTCCGGGGATCCAAATTCCGGTCCTCACACTTGTACAGCAGGCTCTTTCCCACGGGGGCGTCTCCCAGGCCTCCTTTTTTTCCTGGTCTGGGAATATTTTGTGTCCCAGATGTCCGTAACAAGCCCCCTTGTCTCAAGCCGCAGCGTGTTTCCACATCTGTGAGGACCCGTGTGTCATCATCTCCCTTTATCAGTAGCAGCCGAAGGCCCGATGGGCCAAGCAGCTTGGCCTGTGGTCTTCCACACGGTGAGACGCTTTGGAGTGACTAGTTTTCCATTTGGACTCTGCAGAGCTTTTGGAGGTCTAGGGGCTCCTTCAGGCCCCTCACACTTCCACAGAAGGGGGTGGCGAGGAGCCGGGACCTCAGGCTTTTTTCTCATGGTGAACATCTTTGCACGTTTGCTTTTAAATCAGAGAAACGCACAGTAACTGATCACATTTTCCTGTTTGCATTGGCAGCCAGGGAGCTCACATCTAATTCTCAGCTCACGGCTGACAAGTGCCCAGTTCACGTTCTGTGTGGGAGCCCGGTCCTGGCTTTCCTTCCTCCCCCGTGTTTCCCTGCAGGCCTTCCTTTCTTTATCCTGTTCATCCCATCACTGCCGCCTCACATCCTTCAAAAAAGAACGAATGTCCCTGAGAACATTAAAAATGGAGGACTTTCTTCACAGCAGGCATCTTGTGGGTGGGAAAGGAACGTGTGTGGAAATAAGGAATGTTTCCGCATTGAAAGTACGCATGTGTGTTGTAGGATGTGTATGTGTATAGGATATGAAGTGTACACATGTTGTGTGTTGCACATGTGTATAGGATGTGTACACTGTGGGATATTGAGTGCACATGTGTGTGTAAAATGTGTATGGTGTGGGATATGGAGTGCACACACGTGTGTAGGATGTGTATATGTGTAGGATATGGTATGGAATTCATGGTTTTCAAAGTCCATTTGTTCTCCCATATACATTGACTGGGAAGATGAGGCGAAGTTGCCCCAAGGTATCCGATGTGTAAGGCACGGCCTCCTGAAGAACCTGCCCCATGGCCTAGCACTTTCAGATTAAAACTGAGGCCCCGGGCTGGAGGGATCTTCCAATGTGATAGTCTCAAAGAACAGGATTCCTTCTCTTGTAGAAACGACCCAGGAAGCTTCGGAAAATGATGGTCCCCAGCCCTGTCCCCAGGGAGGCCGCTAATTGGTATGGGTGGAGATTTAAAAACTCCCCTGGAGACACTAACAGGCGGCTGAGAACTGCTGCCCCGGAGAAGGGGATGTGAAGATAATAAACACCTGCCTCCTACACGTGTGTGTAGGATGTGTATATGTATAGGTGTGTGTAGGTGTAGGTACCTCCTACACACATCTCAGGGGCATCAGGCTGGTGAGGCCACAGGGAGGTAACGGGCCAGTTCTGGCGGCAGTCTGAAGGGGATATGTTAACTCTCACCGAGTTATGAGATGCCCAACACTTCCTCACACAGTCCACAGAGAAAGGAACATTTCATATCCTGATCCTCTGTGTGTGTGCATTTGTTTATATGTGTGTATATAGTATATGTGTGTATGTATATAATACGTGTGTAGCATATGTGTATATAGTATATTTCTATACTACATGTGTATATGGTATATGTGTATATATAGTATGTGTGTATATAGTATATGATGTGTATATGATATATTGTGCATGTATATATGTATATATAGTATGTGTGTATATAGTATATGATGTGTATATGATATATTGTGCATGTATATATGTATATATGTATGTGTGTATATAGCATGTGTGTGTATGTATTGTAGCACTTCAGCATATGCAAGTGATTGATAAAATGGCATAACATTTGCATAGAGTCTGTGTATCCCCTCATGGGCTGTGAACTATAGATTATTTGGGCACCTGCTATGATCAGAGGTGATGAAAATAGTTGCTGTACCATATTTCTTGGGAAATAATGACAAGAAAAAGTGTGTGAGAGGAGGCTGGGGAAGCACAACTGCCTGCTGTGACACCACATGGATTCAGTCCTCAGCACCTCTAGTCAAAAGGCATGTTCCTGTTCAGTGCAGATGAAGTGCTTTTCTCTGAATCCTTCAGTCTGGGATTGATTGAATCTGAGAGTGCAGACTTGCACTCATACTGTGCCAATTCATGTGACATGTCCTAGTCCAGTCTATCCTCATCTAGTTGTGGGGTGTGTGTGTGTGTGTGTGTGTGTGTGTGTGTGTGTGTGTGTGTGCGCGCGCGCGCCAGAATTCAATGTCGAGTGGCACGTTCAATCACACTCTACCTTATTTTTTGTGGGAGGGTCTCTCACTGAACCTGGAGTTCATTGGTTAGGCCAGGCTGGCTGGCCAGTGAGCCCCAGGAGTCCTCTTGTCTCTGCCTCCCTGATTCTGGGATTACAGGTGTGAGCCGCCCATGGAGTCCAGCTATCTACACGACTCTGAGGATCCAAACTCAAGTCCTGATGCTTCTAGTTCAGGTACTTTACCAGCTGAGACATCACCCTAACCCTTCACTCTGGGTTTCTGGGTTTTTGTTTAGAAGAAAAAGTGAGGTTCAGGGGCCAAGACAAAGCTCTGACAAGGAACACTAAGATTCTCAAGTAAGGCAGCTTTGTGCTTTCTGAAATGACCCCATGGGGAACGAAGTGCCCAGAGTGGTAGATAATACGTGGAGCATGGCTGGTGGCAGACACAGCCTTGGTGGCAGTGTGGGCACCCAGCATTCTCACAGTGACAATACAAAGTAAGTCCTGGGTTTCTGAGCTCTAGATGAGAAAATCAAGACCAAGGGTAGATTTATTTCCCTTGTGGCTTCTAAAGGGCAGAAGAGTCATTGTGATGCCGGGATGCTGCAGGCCACAGGAATATATCATAAGAACTCAGCTGGTTATGGCAAAGTCACTACGTGGAGAGATCAGGGAATTCCTCCAGAGGAAGCCAAATCCCAAGGAGTTTTTGGTGTTACTTGGCTTGTTATATATCAACTGTATTCTGTTATGAAAATCATGTGTGCCTTCATAGTTTTCCCAATTGACTTTTCCCTAAGAAGGGCTAACAGTGTGGACTGATCACTCTCTGGACATACACATTCCAGGTATTTGGAGAACAGCCTCAGGAAAGGCTTTCTCTGGAATCAGATATCTCCCTTGGCCACTTTCAAGGACTAGCAGTAATAACAGTCCACATGCAAGTCTCCTGATTTAAGGCAAATTCCACAAGGAGACACTGCCTAAGTCAGGTGGATGTTCAGGAATAGCTTTACACAATTTAGCTCAGACCCTCCTTTCTTACAGCCTTACTAACTTTATAGACCTTTAACTGCTTACCTAACCACTTCTAGGAATATTTAGATAACCTTCTGCGCTGACAGCTATGCTCAGCCAGAACCCCAGTTCAAGCCTCCCTGTAATTATTGTCATTGGTAGCATCTGGCCAGGTCCATCCCCAGATGGAGGAAAGTACCTTATCAGAGATACCTCTGTACTTTCTAAGAACAGACTTAAGCATCCAGGCTACCTGTTTGAGAAGGCCTGGCGGATGTGCCAATTAAGACTTACTTCCTCCTTTCCCAAACCTTACCTTTAGTTCCAGATCTCCCTTTAACTATCACCAGAGGCATCTAGTGGTACACAGGTTGCCTAGCGACTGAGCACACTTTCCCCCACCCTGGGGTTGCAAACGATAATTAATGGTTATTGCCTCTCAATGTGATTCTTATCACCCCTCCGTTTGACCCTGGAAGCCTGGCTTTGCACTGCTAAGGGAATACTGCTTGTAAGTGTATATATACCAGGACTTCCAGGGCACGGAGAGACGGAGAAGGAAAAAGAGAGTGGAAGAACTAGATGGGTAAGAACTTGAGAGGAACAAACTGAGATGGGGAAGAACTAGATTGAAAAGAGTACTAGAGGAACGAGATGGAAGATGAGGAAGAGTCAGATGGGGAAGTACTAGCTGGGTAAGAACAAGGTGAAAAGGACCTAGATGAGGCAGAATTAAGATAGAACTTAAGGGGAACAGTAGATAAACAGAGAGAAATCAGGCAAGAAAGGAGTTAGGCACGAGAACAGAACTGAAGTTGTGTATAAAGGATGTTATGCCAGAGGAATTAAAGCAAGTGGACTATAGAGCTCAGTGTGCTGAGATTCTATTTCCTAAAAATAGTCCTCGCCGTTAGTAGTTCTCTCTCCTGAGCCCCTGGCATGTATAATATTGAGGCTGGTCCCTCTAATATTATACAAGACCGGGAGATGCCTGGTCCCTCCTCACTGAGTGGGGACATCCAGGCCAGCTGCAGGCACTTGCTCTGATATGGTGTCTGTGGGGAAAAGAGACAGATAGGACTGGAGATGGGACCAGAAATGCCAGGGCCTGACCCGTCAACAGTCGGGGGCCCTTGTCTCACAAGAGTATAAAATCACCACGAGTACAAAAGTGGACATACAGGTGGATGGATATTCCTTTGAATTAAGGAAAAGATTCACAGCTGGTTCTGATTTACTTTTACTTTTGTGCACGAGTGTTCTGCCTGCATGAATGAATGAATGTACACTGTGTGGAGTTGAGAAAATGGTGTTGAATCTCCTGGAACTGGAGCTAGGACAGTTGTGAGTCACCATGTGGGTGCTGAGAACTGAACCTGGGTCTTCTGTGAGAGCAACAAGGACTCTTAACTGCTGCGCTGTCTCTCCAGTCCCGAATTTTGTTTTTTATCTATCTGTATGCATGTGGGTGGGAGTGGGGGGAAGTTATGCATGTGAGTGCAGTGCCCACAGAGGCCAGAAGAGGGCATCCGATCCTCTGGAGTTGTGCGTAGTAGTGAGTGGCCTCTGGAACAGGAGGGAGTCAGGGTTCAAAGAGTCAGAGGCTCTTGACTGGCCACAGCTAGAGGCCAAAAGAGGCTGATGTTTGGAAACTTGGAATAGATAGATCCTCCACCACTGGAGTCCAGTCGCAGCCCACGTCTAGTTTCCCATCAGGGCCTCTGATAAGGCGCGCAGAGACTGACTGGCTTGGTGGAGACACCTATAGCACCAGCAGCCGAGTAGGCAGTGGTAGTAGTCCTCTGAAGCCCGCTGAGCTCCATAGAGAGCTGCTGGGGCAGAGGAGCTGGCTCAGTCGTTAAAATACCATACAAGCATGGGGACCCGGGTTCAGATCCCCATCACCTATATAAAAAGGTAGACATGGCAGTCGTTACCTGTAATGCAGTGCCTGGGAGACAGTCCCGGGGGCTTGCTGGTCAGCCACTCTGGCTGAATAGAAAAAAAGAGACCCAACCTTAAAAAAAAAAAAAAAAAAAGGTACAGAGCAGTTGAGGAAGACAGTAATGTTGAACTCTGCCCTAATACACACGCACACGCATGCACACGCCCACGCGCACACACAACACCCCTTTCCTGAAACTGAGATGACACCCTCCTCAGAGACGTCTTCCAGGACTGCTCTGATGCTCTACTCTCCCCACCCCGCCCCCCTTTTTCCTCCTCCTTAGTATTTACAACTTTCTCCAACTGTCTTCTTTTTCCTGGATGCTTTGTTCATGATCCCTCTCTCGGCGTGAATGGAAAGTTCTAGGACGACAGCAAACGAGTTGGTCTTGTTCTAGTGGAGCGGCTGACCCGGCACGGCCAGTGGAGGATGGATGGATGGATGGATAGATGATGGGTGGGTGGATGATGGATGGATGAAAGCGTGCACGCGGTCCCTGTCTGCGCTGCTGGCTCTCTGGGGCCGCGCCTGGCCGCGGTGAGGACGCTGCGGGGCCGGGAGGCGGCGTGGGCGTCGCCGCGGGGAGGAGGCCGGCGCGTCCCTCCTCCGGGAGCGCAGCGGCGGCAGCGAGAGCAGCGCGCACTGCAGGGCCGAGTCTCCGCCCGGAGTCAGCGCCGCGCCTCGCGGCCCCCACGCACGGCGCGGCCCGGCGGGGGCGCAGGAGACCCGCGGCCGGGACAGGGGGCCGGTCCCCGGCACAGGCGGCCGCCGCAGCCCCGCGACATTCGCTCCGCGTGCCGTCACCCGGCCTGGCTCGCTCGGGACGCCTCTGCATTGCGCGGGTGAGTACCGCGCTCGGGGGACGAAGGGCGGGATCGCGGATCCTGGGGACCCGGCGGCCGCAGGCAGATCCCCTCTCGGGATCCCTCTGGGTCTCTGGGCCTCAGTTTCCCCCGCGTGTTCCAGGTGAGTGGGGTGCGGGGCGCAGTGACTGAAGTTGGCAACTCCCGCGCGCGGGACAAGTGCAGGACGCGGCCGTGTCTCTGTGTTTGGTTAGATGCCTGGCCTTGGAGGAGGCTCGTGGTGAATCTCGGATCCCACCCAAAAGGAACCCAGGGACAAGTTGATGCCCGGGGCCGGGGTGCTGCAGTGGCCGAGGAGCGGGACAAACCACTGGGACTCGGGGCCGCTGGCCCTCCTCCACGCCGATTTTCTTTTGAAAAATCTTTAGATCCAGCAGCCAGCAGTGGTCCAGCTCAGGGCGCTGAAGTTGGAGCTGAAACTTTAACACAACTTTCCATCAGAACGCTTAGACTGGGTTTCATAGTAAGTGGAGAGCGCGCGGTCTGCAGTTATTTTAGCCAGGCGGCTGTGGACTGGCCCTAGCTGCTTCAATGCTTTTCAAATAGCTCTCAGGCTCAAGGAGTATTAGGGAAGCGTGACTGGGAGAAGTATCCCACTGCTAAAGCCTCAACGTGCTTTGCTCAGCAGTTAAATGCGAGCCTTTCTTGCAAGGTTCATACGGGCCCCAAAGCCATCCGGGACTCGCACTTGATAGCCCTCACTCATTGCCTGCGGGAAAAGCAAGGCAGACCTACCGGTTGTCCTTTCTCTCTTCCCTCCACCACCCGAAAGGCTACACAACCTTTAATGACTTAAAAAAAATTACAGCGCGAGGTATACAAGTCACCCGCCCCAAAGAAATTACAACTGGAGACAACAGTTGTATTTGGAGCCAAGTCTATTAATTCCACAAGCCCTTGATGCTCGGGTGAAATTTCTATTAACCAGAGTGTGGGTTAGCAGACACGTCAGCCCGCGGCAGTGTGTTAGATCTCAACACACAGACTTTTCAGAATAATCTTTGGCGAAGAGAGAGACGTTCTGCAGTTTTATTCAAGAGATACCCACTCCTTCCCTCCAGTTTAAGCCCTTCAAGCCGAATATTTCCTTGTCTTGAGACATCTTCAGACTGGAGGAAATTAACGGGCTATTTATGTAAGAAATGATAATGTTTGGAATCTTTTTTGTGACCGGACGTAATATCGAGTGTGTATTTGAAACTCGAAATTCTGCAGCTGTAGAAAAACCAATGTGGATAGATCTGAGAGAACCTCAGTGGTGTGTGTGTGTGTGTGTGTGTGTGTGTGTGTGTGTGTGTGTGTGTGTGTAAGCTGTGTTTTAGGTCCCTAGGCCCCTTTGTATCATAGTTCGCAACTTGATAAGCCGTTTTGCCTTAAAATAATTTGTATTTTCTTCCTGTGTCTTAGAGAGCTTGTAGAGTGCTGTGCCCAAATGCATAAAAATAACTCACAAACACATAAGTTGGTTTCTTAGTGTCAGATGACTAAACAATGGGAAGTAAAAATGAAAAGATTTGTGCCCCGATATTTTTGTGTTAAAAAACCAGCTGTTTTAATGTCCTAAGTTCCAGCATCTTTTCATGACTCTTGTACTGGGTTTAAACACCTCATAAAGAGATGTGATTGTTGACCTGTTACAGGATTACCATTTGGGAGTGGGGAACCACCCATAGTACACCGCTTCCAAAATGCCCTGCTGCCTTAAATCGTGTGTAAGAGATTTCGAGTCTAGTTCCTGGATAAACTGATAAAATGCTAGCTGCTGTGCGAGTGTGGAGGAGCTGGCAGAAAACTGGGTCCCGTGGTATAGCTGGGTACTTTCAGAATTGGGTTGAATACACTGTGGAGACGCTGGCAGTTTGCAAAGATGTATGCACAGTCTAGGCACGTCCACTCAAGATGTCTTTTGGTTCCCCCAAGACAAGATGACTCCATCCCTGACAAAGAAGAAACCATTTCCTTATTTTTCAGCTATTTCCCAAAGATAACTTGTGCAGGACTCAGGAGACCAGAGCTAAGCGGCCATCCAACTATCACAGCCCCAGCCAGGCTCCACGAGAACTCTTTCTCTGTCCGTCCGCCCCCCACACACACACACAGACATACACAAGATGTGTGCTGGGTGTCCTCAGCTGCGTCGCCCCCTTTGAAACTCATTAGCTCAGCAATAAACTTCGGTGTAGCAAAAGCGTAGGCTATCGCTGAGCGGGAGTGAGGTTCCGGGCGACCCACAGCAGATGTGTTTCTGGCTGTCAGGAAAAGAAGGGAGGGGAGAGGTCTTGCTCAGCTGGGCCAGCTGCTGAAGCCCCTGCATCTAAGAGGATGGATGGGGAGCTGGAGCTGGAGCAGGGGCTCGCCCTTGCTGAGCAGGCATCCTGCCCATGAAGGATGCTCGGGCGCACACAGGAAAGCCTAGCTCTCAGGCAGTGTCCACAGACCTGACGTGTGTGTTGTGTGTCTGTCTGTGAAGTCTGGAAGAAAGGACTTGCTTCCTGTCACATGGCCAGAGATATTTACCTGCCTCTCACCTAGGCACCAGACACAAAGGCAGACCGTGGGGCTTGAGAGAAATTCCTTAAGAGAGAGAATTGCCTTCCCAGAGGCTTCTGAAAGGGGAGGATTGCTTAGTTCTATGGCCTCCCGATCTTGGGGTTTGGGGCTGAGAGTCACTCCCAGACGCCACACTTTCTGCCTGTCACCAAGACTGGGTTCTGCTGTGGGCAGGAAACATTTTCCTGGCTATTTGTTCTGAATAAAGAGTTGGAGGCGTTTGCCCAGAAGGAATCCTTTACAGAGGCTTAACCCGGGAGTTGAGAAAACATGGCCTGTTGACAGAACACACACACACATATTCTCTCTCTCTCTCTCTCTCTCTCTCTCTCTCTCTCTCTCTCTCTCTCTCTCTCTCTCTCTCTCTCTCCCTCTCCCCTCGCTCAGTCCCAACACTCTTCCTGATTCTAGAACCACAGTTTCTGTGAGCACCTCACTTCCCGCTCAGCATCTGAGGCCACAAAAGAGTCCCAAACACACCACACACACAAAGAAACTTCTGGTAGGGAAACAATGAGTGGAGAGTTTGCTGGTGACAGTACTCCGGCTTTGCTATTTGGTTGTGTTAACCGCCTTAATGGTGTTTACCTAACACCTTCTAATCCAGGGAGGGTCAGCCCTCCATCGGGGACTAATACTTGAAATGACAACTGGTGGCTGCAGACCCACTTGTCTCTCTGGAATTGACCCACAGGAGCTCATTCTTTGTAGCGTGTAATTTGTGGTAGGAAAGTCCCTGCCCAGTGTACCTAGAGCTGAAGGAAGCGACACATTTTTACGTGTCTTCTCCCTTTTCTTCTCACTGGCGTTCATGGCCAGTGAACGCTGATGCTGTTTTTTTCACTTATAGACCACACTTAAGATTCACTTATAGAAACACACATTGTTTAAAAAACAAAAACAAAACCAGCCCCCCCCCCCCCCCATCTAGGACTTGAATGCAGAGGAGAGCAGTCAGCTCAGCTCAGCGATCCTTAGGGTGGCTCTTCACAGCAGTCCTTTGGGTGTCCATCATCTATTGTTAATAGCCCAGCCTTGTTAAGGAGGAAACTGAGTCACAGAGCAGATGACTCACACAGGCCGCAAATGAAGTGTAGATGAAACCCAAGCCTTCGGTTCCCCAGTGGTGCCTCACCAAGTCCTTCGAAAACCCTGCTCTCCCTCCCCTTGGAGGGTGACACTCAGTTTGGACGGTTCTGCACATGCACAGAGCAAACTATTTTCTGAAACTGCCCTGGTTGCTCTCTCTCTCTCTCTCTCTCTCTCTCTCTCTCTCTCTCTCTCTCCTCCTCTCTCTCTCTCTCTCTCTCTCTCTCTCTCTCTCTCTCTCTCTCTCTCTCTCTCTCTTTAAATAGAAGGGAAATCATATTCAGTATTTAGAAAACAGGAATAGAAACCCTGGGAGTCGTATTTAGCAGTCTGGGCCTGGTCCTGTCAAGGACAACGGCTGTTTATTTACGAGGGCTAATTTGATCTGTCCCCTTTATATTAACACCGAGCAGTTCTGTTCCTAAAATGAGTCAATAAATTTACCGGCAGAGAGAAGGCCCTAAACATTACAGTAGGCACGGCTCAGGTCGGCTTTACTGGAAGGAGCTGCGTTGTATTGCTACGGGTGGAAGCTGGCCTGGGGTTCGATTATAAACACTTGGAGGACAAAGTAATTTGGAACAGGTGGTCTGGAGAGTCAGGTAACAGAAGCAGTTCGTCTTGGCCACTTAGAATGTCAAGGGATGCTACCAGTAGCCTGAATGTGTGGACGCGCAGGCTTATGGTTAATAGGGCCTGAGAGGTGCATCCTTGGAAGGGAAGCAGAGGGAAATGGATGGAACACAGGATCTCAGTACACCGTCCTACTGAAAGCAGGGACCTCGGCTTCACAGCCATTCCTTTCTTGCAATTATAGCACTTCCAACAGAGATTTGCCAGCTCCCGGTGTTTTGATATATGAATTTGTACTCTTGAGTCTATGCAGAAATTTAAAACAGAAATGCCAGCGTGAAAGAACGCCAATTTAAACATCTTTAAAAATGTGTGAAGAATTTAACAGAG